AAATGGACAGGATCCCACTAATTTGAATGAGAGTTAAATTATGTCTACAGTACACAGGTTAAGGTAACCCTCAGCACAGGACCTCTTCTATGCTTAGTAAAGGCAGCTGGAGTGACACAAAGGGGTCCTTAACCCCAGTTCCTGTGGGTGATGGTTTTTGTGGGAGAATCACTGTGCCAGAGCCTCCAAAAAATGCTTGCGCATGCTGCAGGCAGAGGGATATTCTATTATGTGGGTCATAAAAAACTTATGGAAGTGAGTTACTTGCATGACACAAGGCCCAGAGCAGCCCAGTATCATGGGGGCAGGAGAAGGATGAGGGTAGGGAGGACAGACATAAAATACCTTAAATCCATGATAGCTGTCCCTCACCCCAGCCCGGGTGAGCTCAGCAGTTTAGCACAGAATTGTACCCTCTAATTGCATCTGACAAAGAAGATTTTCTTTAAGACAGCATTCCCCTATCCTTCATTTATTTGCATTCTTTTTCCTTGAAGTTCCTGTTACTTTTTGCATGGCAATCATAGTTTCATAGATTTAGGGTCGGAAGGGACCTAGTAGATCTTCTAGCCCGACCCCCCGCCAGAGCGGGAGAACAACAAAACCCCAATCCTTTGTGTGCTTTGTCATTTAACATGAGTAAGTAATCTGCAATCATTTTGACACCATCAACAGATATGTGAGTCAGGATCTGATAGATTTCTGGTGACGATGAACTGCCAAATGGTAGTTTTAGAACATGTTAGGTGTGAAACCACAGAGAATGTTTAATACATATGCTCTGAACCAAGAGGTCTAGAGTTTTGCATTTATAATACATACACTGGCGCACACAGTCACAGTTCAAACTGTCACAGTTCAATAGCACTTGTTAAGAATGTGTGGCATCTGTAACAGTGAACCTTATTGCTTTGGGAATGATGGAAACAAGTCCATAGGATAAACTTTAATTCATATGATAGTTTCAGTCTTTGAAGACAAACTCTCATTTTGCATTGATGCCACCCCATTGAATCCAATGATTATACAGTTGCCTAACAGGCAGTGAAATTTGCCCCTCAGGATCCACACAAACCCAAACTTTATTAGGATTCCCCACTGTCACCAAACTATCAACCTAATCAGCAAGGTCTGTTAAGTGTAATTGCACTGTTCAATGCTATACAAACCAGTTGTTTCTTACTATTTTGCCATACAGCTACTATAAACTTTCTGAGAGGATGTACGATTGCATACACAAATCGCACCACTGGTGGGACTTTTAGGACCCAATTATATATGACTGACTACTCTTATATGCAATCTAGGCCATGGGAAAAAATAATCTCTTGAGAGTGGTGCTACTGTGAATTAGCATCTGCATTCAGAATGTAGATTTTTTCCGTTCAAGTCAAGTTCTTCATTTGTTGAATCCAGACAATCAGGTAGCATTTTGATCTCAAACTCTGTCAGCTAACACTGTCCTCTCTGTTGCCAGGCCAGAGATGTTTTCCTAAAGGATTGTGTTTATGGGTCCCTGAGCGACAATTGCAGCTTTTGATTTCTAAAAATGGACAGCAATTACCATTTCTAGGACACTCTTGTAAATTGTAGCAGGTTGAATTATTAGCCATGTAATGTACTGGACAAATGTAGCCTCAAACCAAATGATAGTTATAAAAATTCTGTATGTTATTTGCAACTGTTCATTGAATGAATTAGGGAACAAATTTCAGCCACTAGATTGTGAATTGTGTTGTGATTATATGTTACTAATGATTTGTTAGTCATTATTTGTTTTTATGTGATTGTTATTTGTTATGTATTTGCAAATGAAGGTTTCAGGGCATTGTTTTCTTCCCTGGCTGAACAACCTATGCTTTTATTAAGGTGCATGCCTGAACAGATAATTAGGTTTTTGAGTCTCTCAGCGAAAGGAACAGAGAGAGGGCAAACTTAGGAATCTGGGGGGCTTGTTTCAAATCTCCTGTTCCCTTTGGGTGAGAATCAGCATTATAGTTGGTACAAGGATTAATAGTATATTATAGTACAAGGATACCAGATTTAAAAATAGATGGGTTCCTTCCCCAGGGAGAGGAAGACTTAAGCCTCATTTATCAGATGTCTAACACCCTTATGTTTACTCTTCTCTTCACAATGTCAGTGTCAACAACATTATAATTGCTATTAGTATTATTTTGTATATATGAATAATAATAACAACAACAATAACAATATTATATTATTATATTATCATTATTTGATGCTAGAACAGTTTTGCTATATCTGTATCATTCCTGGCCTATCCAGACATAACAATTAAAACACAACAGCTGATGCCGTTCTTCAGATGTTCCCCTTTTAACCACCTCCAAATGTATGTATATCCATATTTATTTTCTCTGTTCCTCATCTGAGAATGCTTATTCAGTGGCTGGTTTGAAATTCACTGCCATTATGTTTCCTTCTAATATCCTGTCTCAAACCAATGCCGTTTTTATAGCTTCTAAATATGTAGGAGCCTGTAATCACATCATATAGTCATTCACACCTATGGATCTATATTGGTAGAAAAAAACTCCTCCCCAAATGTCCATATGCATGTGTTTACAGGAAACCAACCAGTGAGGCACAATAAAATTAAGTCAATTTAATCAAAATGCTTATGAGTGCATTTTCTCAGTATTTACCCAGTTTTGTTTAATATTACACTTGTCTCCTACATCAGTTCAGAATGGCATTGGTATATTGTTAAGGATATACCAGTATATCCTTACATATTCTTACCTGATAGCATGGGCATATGTACTCCAATTTTTCACCTCTGGTACCCTTCCTTTTTTGCCTGTACACAAACCTCCCTCAGAGTAGCTCTGTAGTTTTTCTGCATAGAACAGCATTTCTTTTAAAACACAGTTAGGTATGCTGTATGCTCTTTTTCTAATGCCTCTTTGAAGGACACCTGATTTTTATTTCCTTGGGCTGCAGTCACATTTACCACTGGTTACTGAATTGTGTGCTGACTTCTGTATCTTGTATAATTTGGTGACTGTCATTTTACAGTGTGGTGCTCTGATGACTTTGCAGGGAACCTGAGCAAATACTTTTATTCTTCAGTTTAACAGATACCATTTGCTTCTGATAAAGTTAAATTGGATTCTCCAAGTAGCCTTACTCTTGCTGCTTTTTTATTTTTATTTTTTTTACTAGTTATATCTGGCTTTAATTAAACTGTCTAGGAGTTACTCAGCTCTCCAGGGCTACTTTATTTCTGAGCACAGCTGCACACTGATCAATTGTTTCGCTTTTATGAATTTTCCTAGAGAATCTCTGCCCTTCCCATGACTGTTATTTCACAGAATTGAAATTGCTGAAACTTTCTGATTATTTTGTTGCTTTTCCACTTGTCATCTTCCTGATTTCTCTGCATGGAGCTATAATTGTTACAGCATCTTTTCCTTCTATGTGTAACAATGCTAAGGTTCTGGCTGCAATGGCCAGCATGTACAAATGCTGCTTGTTACATTGTCTACAAAGGTCACACCTTTTCCATTTTGAAGGTAATAAAACATTTGCTTGAGAACTAGCTCCATTTGGTAACTTCAAAGAATCTACTTCAAGTTCTCAAAGGTGTGAGAGCAGTTACAGCTAGCAGTTATCTTTACCACTTAGATTTACTTTACAGTCCTCATGGTTTGTCTGTACGTGCTGACTGGCAATATGTTTCTCTTGCAGTTATTGGTTCAGATTGGATGTCCAGAAAAACTTTTTCACAGTTAGAACAGTGAAGTAGTGGAATAGACTGCCTAGGGAAGTTGTGGACTCTACATCACTGGAGGTGTTCAAGAAGAGACTGGACAGCCACTGGTCAGGGATGATCTAGGCATAGCTATCTATGCCTGTTGTACCACAAGTATTTCCACTGCTTCTGAGCTTTCCTGGTTGCCTCTAATCCCTTCCCTCCATACACACATTCCTGCTACATCTGTCATGGTGTTTTTAAGCCTTCCCAGAGGCATTAAGTGCTGACTATAGCCAAGGCTGGGGACTTTAACTCGGGTGTCCTAGTGCTCCTGCTAGGACCAAAACCAGAGGTGCCTGGCTAGAGGGTCTTGTCCCTCCACTCAGACTCAGACCAATTATCATATCTGGGGTCAAGAAGGAATTTTGCCCCATGGTGCAATTGGTATGGACTGGGGGGGAGGGGACGGGGGTTGCCTTCCTCTATAGCGGGGGCTTTGGCCCTCTTCCCAGGATCTCTTAAGCATATATTGACAACTTTTTATTAGAAGCAGGACTTTGGCTGCCATTGCTCCCCTGCTTTACCTGTGCCAAGTTAGGGTGTTAGGTCTATGTTTTGCCAGGACTGAGGATAGCCTTATGTAAAGTTTAGATTATGGTTTGTGTGGGATGCTTTGCATAGCAATGATCCAACCTTAGGCAAGGGGGTGGACTAGATGACCTCTGGAGGTCCCTTCAAGCCCTACTTCTCTATGACTAGGAAAACTGGCAAGGATCTAAGCTATGAATATGCAAGTTGCAGGCATGAAACCAGTAGCCAATTTTCTTGTTACATTCCATTATAGATTCTGATTCTGTCTGGTATTATTATACAGATGTGACAGGCTAGCTGGTGGTGACTTTAGCCCGGGTTTTGAAGGGGTAAAAGATGATCGGAGGACTTGGGATTCCCTTTCCTCACCAATCAGGCCCCAGAGACTCACCCTCCGTGTCCCCTGATTGACCTCTTGGGTCACCTGGAGGAGGCTAAAAGGGGCAGCGCAGCTGACTCAGGGGAGACCAGCGAGGGACCACAAGAAAGGAGTCTCAAAGACCTGGCAAGAGCTGGGTCAGCGGGGTGAGAGCAGTTGCCCCAGAAGCACCTGAAGGAGTGGGACCTGCAGGCAGCAGTTGGACCCTCAGCAGCGTGGCATGCAGCCAGCAGGAGAGGCTTCCCTCTGGGCTCCAGGATCCCCTATGAGAGGCTGTGGCCAGTATCTGAGCAGCAACCTGAGAGGTTCCCAGCTCTGCTTCCAGCTTCTCCAGCAAGAGGCCAGGCAGCTCGATGTGAGGCCGGGGCTCCTGGAAGGTCAAGACCCCCAGCAGCTTGGAGCAGCACCAGCACTGGTGGCTGTGTGGTAGAGTTTCTGCCTACTACAGTGGAGGTCTGAGTTTAAGTCCCAGCTGAGATGAGTGAAGTGACAGAGAAAAATTCTTATTGCAGTGGAAAGGGGTCGTTCTGTTTTCCCTCCCCCCCCGCCGCCCTTCCAGGTACCCAGGCCCTATATTCCTTGTTATTTGACGTTTTGTATTTTGTGCCTTTTATATTTCGCCAACCAGTATTATTTGTTCTGCTGTTCGTGTTTTATATTTTGTTAACCCTGTCTTTTGTCAACTGGATGAATATGTCTGTGATTGTAAGTGTCTAACCTTTGTTGAATCCTGCCCCCTTGGGGCGTTGTAGTGTCCCCTATACCCCCTGGTTTATACTGGTTATGTTCCCAGTACTGTTCTCTCATTAAAAGGTATATGTTTAAGTCCCCATTAGTGATCTGGCTCTGCTCTGTAGGGGGAGGAGGGTCCCTACACCTCCCACAGCGCTTGTGTACCTGCTCTGGAGAGGGGTACATCTTGGAATACCGCCCAGGTTACAGAGGTTTTCCCTTCAACTTTCACTTCTGAGCCTTAATCAGTCATGAGGTTCGTTAAACAGGCAAATCAACATAAGACATTTAGATTTATAGATGAAGGTACTTACATAAGTCTCACTCTCTACCTCTCTTCCTCACAGCTCCAACCAATGCTCCAGAAAGATACCAGAACAGCCAGAAGCATTCTTAACAAAAACAGCTATGAATACAGCTATCTTTTAACAACTAATTTGATTACATCTCACATTCTTTGCCATGTTGCACCAAATCAAACTGTTGAATGCAATTTAATTAGAAAACAGAACTGTCCTGAGACCTTTACTGCTGTTCTATGTAGCAAGAATTATATAAATAGTGATCACAAATCTTATTTTTTGGAGAAACAGAATTTAATAAAACAGGTATTGGTCCAACTCTTTTCTTATCTTAGGGAATGAGTATTTCAAGTGTTACTTAGATGCAGGTCATAGAGAGTTATTTTCTCTGCATTTTTAACTCAGGCTCTAACTCCAGTTTTGGTCTTACCTGTCCCCCCTGTCCACATAGAATACACTTCGACTCAGCTTTTGAGGGGCTTCCAGGTTAGATTAGGTTACCTGAGCTTTTTCAGCCTTGGAGGCGGGGTTTGGATTTTTACCTAGAACTGCCCACTATGTAACAGAAGAACTTGCCGTAACTGATTTGGTAAAGTCCTGGAGTCTCTCTGCAAAGAATCATGGGATATGCCTACGGACATGCATAGGCAAGTGCAGAGATAGTGAGGACCTAGCTACTAGGTCTTTGCATGGAGATTCTTGCCCATGGGCTAGGGTAGGCTAACTGTGCTATAAAGATATAACCAGTGTGGTGGACTTCAGAGGCTACATCCCATGATTCTCTGTGCTGCAATCCATCATTAGGCTTAGTCAATCTATAATTTTTCCCTAGTTAATGGTAGTTTTATATGACTCTTGAGATGGGACACTGGAACAGTCTCCTAGGAAAAGTAGCTTGAAATGGTGCCCAGTTGAGTTGCACAGGTAGGTTTGTTGTTTTGTTTTTTTAACACCATTAGAGCTGTTAAATTATTAAATTAAACATTATAGCTGTTCTTGATTAGTAGTTATTTTTTTCCTCAGGGTTACCTTCAACCTAACCAGGAGAATTAACTCTGATGCAAAATGTGCCAGAGTTTATTTCTTTGCATTAATAGCACGTGTAGGTATGCTCACCGATGAAGCAGAATCAGATCATTCATACAATGTTAAAAAAGGAAAAGAATGTCAGGAATTGTCTAAGTAGTAATAGGAGTGGATAAGGTATTTTTCATTCCTGTTTCTGTATTTAAATATGTAGGTCACTATGTTATTACTTATTTCCCAATAAATATATAGATTTAGACCCCATCCCTGTACACATATTGGACATGTGCTTAACTTTATGCATGTGAAAGGTCCCCATTAATGCCAAGGTGACTGTTTAGGTGCACAGTCTTGTTTGTGTACTTGTTTTCAGGATCAAGGCCTTAGAATGAAAAATTAAACGAAATACAAGTTTATAATTCCAGTAGTTCTGCTCTTATGTTTTTAGCTGCTACGGCATTTGTTTATAATAGGTACAGCATTGAAAAACCTTTTTTAATGCCAAAGAAGTTTGGGAATGTCATCACAGTATAGGAAACCATCTCTAACAGGGCATCATTGGATAACTTTAACATGGGGTGTAAAGAAGTACTATAATAGTGCAGAGATAAAATTGGCCACCTGCCATATTTCTTGTTTCAGCTTGGAGTGCTCTGCCAAAAATCATTTCAGAAATCTGGGTAGCACATTTCACAGCCCTAGAAAACCCTGCATCTTTAATGGAGTTAGAATTTAGTATATCTAAGTTATAAAAGTTAAGAGTAGTGTCAGAAATTATGCATTCTTGTAGACATGGGGAAAAAGAAAAAACAGTGCTTTACTTTAAACTCGGTGCACTCCCACACAGAGCCCAGCGCATGCCCAGAAGAGACAGCATGTTAGTTGCACCTGGCTTTCCCAAAGTCTCTGGAAATCAGGCACTATCTTATCAGAAGACTTTTTTTTTGGAAACTTTAGCTCTCTAAGTCAACATGAAGTCTTGATGTCTGGCTTCAATTAATTGTTTATATTAGAATTTAACTTATTTGAAAAATTCTAATATTATAAAAGCCTTAATCTGTCTTTCTGTCTGCTATAATGCTTTATTTGTGCTCTGATGGGCTATCAGCCCATCAGAGTGTGAAAAAGTGTTCAGACAGGTGGAGGCACAGACACAGGGGATGGAGGTGGTGTGCATGAGGCCAGGGCAGCTGGCTTCACCCCATCCCCTCCCGCCCTGCTCCCTGGAAGCAGCAGCAATGGAGTGAACAGAATGGGGGGGTGGGGAGGCAAGGCCAGCAGTGGTGGCCTCACCCCACCTACCCTGCCCCCTTCAGGTAGTGATGATGGAGCAGAGTGAGGGGGCAGGCCACCAGAGTTGGCCTTGCCTCGCCCTTGCTCCTTGGAGGTCACAGCAGCAGTGGCCACAGCAGCGCAGTGGGGAGTGGGGTTGAGATGCTGTGAGGAGGAGCGAGGCCACCGGTGCTGACCTTGGCCCGCCCCTCCCTCTTTCCATTGTTGCCACCTGCAGGGCTGATATGGCTGACATGGCAGTGATGGGTAGAGAAGCAGGTCCAGTGTGGGTGGGGGAAGAGTGGGCACGCCGCAGCAGCAGTGGGGGAGGAGAAAAGTGGGCCCAGGCCCAACATGGGGTGCAGGAGGAGTGAGCCCAAGGTGGGGGAGAAGCTGGCCTGCCATGACAGTGGAGGGGAGCAGCAAACCCAGCCTGACCCAATGCAGCAGTGGGGGG